TTCTTCTTTCATAGAAATTTTTGTCTTAGGTGGTATAAAAAGGGATAAGAGAAAAATAAAAAGAGAATTAAGTTTTGCCTCCCTCAAAAGCCTGTCTCCTGTGTGTGTGTGTGTAGCCGTCAACTCCACATCTCCTTCCAGTTTCTCTGACCTGCCGGAGATAGACTCCAGAGTTGTCCTCTGACTTCTACATGCGTGTGCCATGTACTCCTATGCTTCTCAAAGCAACAAACAAATATCCCTTTAAAAATTAAAAATAAAAGAAACACCAGGGAGTGACTGCTGTGAAAGAGAGGAAGAGTCGCCTTCTCCACGGAGAGCCACGCCCTTACAGAATATAAGCAACAACTCATTCACTGCAATCCAAGACATCAGCAGAGAGCTGACGATGGTGGGCGTGGCCAGCCCTAAGGCATGACCTCTGTGTAGCCGCCTATAATCGATCCCCGACTCACTCCTTTTCATGTGTTGAAATTTTTTGCTTTTTAAAGTTTTCCTCCTCACTGTTTTACATCGTCAAACTTTTTTTGAAAGAAATCTTTTTATTTATGCATGAGTGTTTCGCCTGCATATATGTGTACTGTATGCATGTAGTACCTGCAGAAGCCAGAAGAGGGTGTTAGAGCCCCCGGAACTGGAGTTACAGGTGATTGTGAGCCACCTCCATGTGGGTGCCGGGAATTGAACCTGGGTCCTCTACAAGGGGATCTTAACTCTTAACTGCTGAGCCATCTTTCCAGCTCCAACCAATCCCTACCTCCTTACCTCTCTTCCTTCCTTCTTTCTTTTCTTTCTTTCTTTTTAGTTTTTCAAGACAGGCTTTCTCTGTCCTGGAACTCACTCTGTAGACCAAGATGGCCTCAAACTAATAGAGATCTGCCTGTCTCTGCCTCCAGAGTGCTGAGATTAAAGATGTGTGCTACCACCACTCAACTTCAAGATCCCTTTTTTCCTTTTTCAAATGTGCATTGGTGCTTTGCCATGGATGTCAGGTCCCCTGAAACTAGAATTACAGATGGTTGTGAGCTGCCATGTGGGTGCTAGGAATTGAACCCAGATCCTCTGGAAGAGCAGTCACTGCTCTTAACCGCTGAGCCCTCAAGCCCTTAAGATGTCTTTTTTATGTCTGCATTTGTAAGAAATAAGATTTCTCAAGATCTTCCCTCTTGGAGCCACTGTTTTTAATATAGATTCTATATAGTGGTGGCCTGTGATTGAGCCTGTCAAACATCTTAAGAGCCAGATGTGGTAGCACACAGCTGCATCCCAGAACTCAGAGAGAAGAGTTGGGAGAATCACACATGCCAGACCAGCCTGATCACATAGCCAGGTCTAGGCTAGCTTGAATTACAGAGTTGAGGTCTGGCATTCACCCTAGCCCCCCAAAAGACTTGAGTGTTCTGCCAATGTGGTGGTTTGAATACTCTCCCCCTATTCCAGGGTGAGGAACCCTTTGAAAGGATTAGAAAGATTACTATGTGTGGCCTTGTTGGAGGAAGTGTGTCACTGGGGTGGGCCCTGAGGTTTTAATAAGCCCATGCTGGCTCAGTTTTCTTCTCTTGGCCTATGGATCAGGATGTAGCTCTTAGCTACTTCTCCAGTACCATGTGGTGTTGCCATGCTCCCTGCCGTGATGATAATGGACTAAACCTCTGAAACTGTAAGCAAGCCCCCAATTAAATGCCTTTTTTCATAAGAGTTGCCTTGGTCACAATGCCTCTTCCCAGCGAGAACAGTGACTAAGATAGCCATGGGATTCCAGGTGCCTACAGTTACAAAGTGGGGTGCACACAATTACCAAGCACCACTTTGGACCCATTATGAACAAAGCCTACCTACCCAGAGCTGTTATATCCTCACAAACGCTATTTGGGCATTTGTATACCTGAGTGCTTATGCTTGCAAAAATATGTGCTATTCTTGCCTATTTTATTGTTAAAGTGGCCTTTGGAGTGGTCTGTTTTGTTGCTGTTATGGCGATGCTTTGCGGTGGATGTTTATTTTCTGTTTGAGGTGTGGTTTCACTGTGTGCTCCAGGCTGACCTCAAACAAGTGATCCTCCTGTCTCAACTTCTTGAGTTCTGGGATTACAGATTGTTTTAGTCGGGTTTTCTATTGCTGTGAAGGGACACCATGACCACGGCAACCCTTACAAAGGAAAACACATAATTGGGGCGCCTCGCTTACAGTTCAGAGGTTCAGTCCATTATCATCGTAGTGGTATGGAGGCAGACACGGTGCTGGGGAAGTACCTGAGAGTCCTCCATTTTGCAAGCAACAGGAAGTGGCCTGAGAAATAGACCTGGGAATAACTTGAGCGTAGGAGACCTCAAAGCCCACCCCCACGGTGACACTCTTCCTCCAACAAGCCCACACCTACTCCAACAAAGCCACACCTCCTAATAGTGCCACTCCCTTTAGGGGCCGTTTTCTTTCAAACCACCGCACAGATCTTCACACCTGGCGCCACCACTCAAGATTTGAGCGTTCAGGTTGTGTTTCTCAGAATTATGGTTCCAACTCCTAGAAAATGACGTGTACGGGAAACTAGTGGAAGTCGAGAAAACTCTACCGATGGGTTCACAGTACTCGGAAGCTTTCTCCCGGCCTTGATTTTCTCCTGTGGTTGTTGGGGAATGTGAAACACACGCAAGGATTCGACGCCAGCTCTGCCCTTTCCCTTTAGGTCTCAAACTGTTTCAAGGGGCTGGAGAGACGGCTCCGTGGTGAGGAGCACTCGTTGATCTGGTGGACCTGTGTTCAGCTCCCCCGTGGTGGCTCAGAACCATCTGCCACTCTAGTTCAAGGGGATCTGATACCTTCTTCTAGCCTCCGCAGGCACGAGGGACACATGGGATGCACATATATACACGCAAGCAAAACACCATACACATAAAATAATGTAATTTTTTTAATAAAATAAAAACTTCTAGACTAGGCAAAACACATTTAAAGGCACCTCTGGACTCAGAGTTCTTCAGGGAAGCCACCAATATTGCCAGTTTTTGTCATGGCTTTTTTTAAAAAAAAAGATTTGTCTTATTTTTATTTATTGGCATATGTGTGTATCTGTGTTTAGTTGTGTGTACATGAGTGCAGGTACATGTGGAGGCCAGAGGTGTTAGATCTCCTGGAGCTGGAGTTACAGACAGTTGTAAGCTAACCAATATGGGTGCTAAGAACTCAACTCAGGTCCTCTGGAGAGCCACACATACTCTTCACCACTCAGCCATCTCTCCTCCACGTGTGTGTGTGTGTGTGTGTGTGTGTGTGTGTGTGTGTGTGTGTGTGTGTGTGTATGCACAGTTCACGTATGGAAGTCAGAGGACAACTTGCAATAGATTCATTCCTTCCACCACGTGGATCTTAGGGATGAAACTTGGGTGTCCAACATGACAACAAGCACTCTTTCCTGCTCAGCCATCTTGCTGACCCATCATGTTTTTCCACACTTAGAAATGGACTATAAATATGAGCATGTTTTACATTGCCATTATTTTCTTCTTCTTTTTTGTTTTGTTTTGTTTTTTGAGACAGGGTTTCTCTGTGTAGCTTTGCCCCTTTCCTGGAACTCGCTCTGTAGACCAGGCTGGCCTCGAACTTGCAAAGATCTGCCTGCCTCTGCCTCCCGAGTGCTGGGATTAAAGGCGTGCGCCACCACCACCCGGTCATTGCCATTATTTTCAACTGACAACAAAACCCAATGTTTTTGGCATACAGGTCCACAAGCTTGATGAACACATGCAGTCATGCAGCCCATCACATTCAAGATACGGAAGTCGTGTATTACCCCAGGAAGCTCCCACTCATTCCTTCATCATTGGACCCTCCACCCCCATTCCTTGATTCTGTTGATCTGCTTTCTCTAGAGACAGAAAATACAGTTTGACTTTTGAAAACGTCATATAAGTAATCACACAGTACATACCCTTTTGAGACTGGTGGACTAGAGTGGGCTAGACTGTCCGTGGGTGCTAGAAGAAGGATATAGTTTGTGTTTGGCATCTCTGCAGGGATAGGGGCTCCACAGTGAGTAAAGCCTCCACCAGGCACACAGCCAGAAGACTCTCCATGAGTTCCCTTTAGGGTTCAGGAACCTGAAAAACTCAGGCTCCCCCTCCCTGGGGGCTGGGTCAGGAAAGCCACTATAAGGAGAGCTTATAATGCAGACCAAGTAGGAGCCTCTGGGAACTTCAGGCAACCCTAAGAGCTGGGTAATCTTCCCACTCAGACCTTTAGGGGGCTCCACAGCTGGTAAACTGGTCACTCCCTGCCTGGAGCCTCAAAGACTCTGATATTACGTCAAGAAAGTCTGATCACCGGAGAAGAGTGTGTGACATTCAGACACTGTGGGGATGTAGGGGCGGATGGTCTAGTTTGATTTAAAGACCTCCTACGCAATCCCTGCTCAGTGGCCAGCCAGTCCCTACTTGGAGGTCCCTAGCCACTGGGAGTTCATTAACTACAGGACAGGACCTTCTTCTGTGGGAGAGCAGGTGAAAGGAGTGGATTTCCAGGTCTTCCTGCAGAAGAAAGTCGCCCACCTCCTGCTCCTCCCACCTCTAGTTCTGCCCACGAGAGCTCTCTCCAAGGGCCAAAGGGGATCTGATTAGACAGAGGGGTGTGAGAACATTGGCCTCGACACTGACACGCTATGTAATTTCAAACCAGTCCCTTAACTGTGCTCTGGGCACATTTCCTCATCCGTAAAAATGAGGATAATAACAAAGCACGCTTGGCTGGATTATTATGGGGATTAATTAAGATAAGGCACAAACCATATGTAACATCATGCCTGGCACAAAGAAGATGATTAACCTATTAGACCTGTTGTTCCTAGGCCGGTCCCTCATCCACAACTCTGTCAGAGTCTGAGACATGGCCCTTTGGCCAAGAGGCCATCTCAGTGACCCCTGTCTTCCCAGCTTCCGCTTCAGCCTTCAGCTAGAAAGTGGAAGGGTAAGGGGAGGGCCTTCCTGCTACCTCTTGGTCATACTTACCAGTGATGAGGTTGTCCACAAGGGTGGTGGGCATGCAGAAAATGCCCACCAGCAGGTCACTGACAGCCAGGTTGAGGATGAACATGTTGGTGACGGTGCGCATGTGCCGGTTCTTGAGCACGATGAAGCAGACGAGGGTGTTGCCCACCATGCAGAGGAGGAAGATGAGCACATAGGCCGCAATGAACATGGCTGCCACTGGGGAGGAGTGTTGGTAGTAGGAGGAGAAGGTGAGGTTGGCGGTCAGAGCAGCCTCGGCATCACTCCCATTCCGACTCAAGGGCCAGCTGCCATTGGGAGGCTGGGCGGGCTCGTCTAGGACCGAAGAAAGACAAGAGTCAGGACCTAAGCCAAGAAGGGATGGCTGACTTCACCACTGAAAGGCGACCCTTGGATGGGGACGTAACTCAGAGTGCTTCGCCTCACACGCAGGAAGCCCTGGGTTGATCCCCCAGTCCCACATAAAGGGGGTGTAGTGGCACATGCCTTTGATTCAAGCATTTGGGAGGTGGCGGCCAGAGGATCAGAAGGTCAAGGTCACCCTCGTCTACCTAGAGAGTGTGAGACTGACCTCAGCCAAATGAGACCTTCAAAGAAAAGAAAGGAAAAATTCACGTTTCTTTGTGTCCCGTGTGGCAGACCCTAAGCCTGCTCATTACTGTCCTCACTATTCCAAGGACAACTGGACACACAGATCAAGGATTTTATTATTTTTTTTAACTTTTAGATTTATTTTATGAGTGTTTTGCCTGCACACATGTGCGTGTGCCGTGTGTGTACCTGGTGTCTGTGGAAGTTAGAAGGCATCAGATCCCCTAAACTGGAGTTGAGGATGGTTGTGAGTCACAGTGTGGGTACTAGGAACCAGACCAGATTCTCTGTAAGAGTAACAAGTGCTCTTGATCATTGAGCCATCCTCAAGCCTCTGACCAAGGCCTTCCAATTATCCCCAACTCGCACCCACACTGCCCAAGACTCATTCTCCAACCATGTTGGTCTTTCTCCATCAGCGCCTTCCACCTGCCTTCACTTCATCTTTGGGGCCTCAGAAGACCTCTCTTCGTGCGTGGGGTGACAAGGTCTTACCCATGGAGCCAAGGATGACCTTGAACTTCTCACGCTCCTGCCTCTACCTCCTGAGTGCTGAGACTATGTGTGTCAGCATGCCCAGTTTATATGAGAGAACCAAGGGCTTAGTACACGTTAAGCAAGCACACTATCGACCGAGCAAGTACCGGGCATGTTAGGCAAGTACCGGGCATGTTAGGCAAGTACACACTATCCCCAGGTCCATGAGTCTAACTCCTAAAGAACCCCATCCCACCAGCTTCTGGTTAGACTCAGCCAATGGGAGGCCCTGAAGGAGGTGGGAAGGCAAGAGAAGAGTCAGGATTTGTTTCCTGGCTTCCTTCTGGCCTGGTCCAGTGCTGTCAGCAGACACAGCTCCTGTCCTGTGGGAACCACTCCTGATGGTGCTTTCAATGTACCCTCGTGTCTAGATACTTTAATTCCCCCAAATCATGGGTCAGTGGTCTTTGGAAGTGGGGCTTTTGAGAGAGTGTCAGAATTACACGGGGTTATAGGGCAGGGCCCTTGTGACATCATTGACGGTTTCACAAGATGAGAAGAGTCCTGAGATAGTGTGCTTGCTATATATATATATATATATATATATATATATATATATATATATATATATATATTTTGTTTTTTTTTGGTTTTTCGAGACAGGGTTTCTCTGTGTAGCTTTGCGCCTTTCCTGGGACTCACTTGGTAGCCCAGGCTGGCCTCGAACTCACAGAGATCCGCCTGGCTCTGCCTCCCAAGTGCTGGGATTAAAGGTGTGCGCCACCACCGCCCGGCTGGTGTGTGTGTATGTGTGTGTGTGTGTGTGTGTGTGTGTGTGTGTGTGTGTATATACCCTTGAAGGCCAGAAGAGGGCACCAGATCTCCTGGGACAAGAGGTATGGGTGAGCTGTTAGACACAGGTGCTGGGAACTGAACTCCCATCCTCTGCAAGAGCAGCAAGTGCTCTTAATGGCTGGAGCCTCTCTCCAGCCCCGTGCTTGCTCTAGTTTGCCATGCAAGGCCCTCACCGTGTTAGGATGCAAGGTAAGGGTCCTGCCTGACCAGATAAGCCATGCTTTTGGACTTCTCGGCTTCCAGACCCATGAGCTAAACTAACTTCTATTCTTTATAAAGTATTCAATCTTAAATACTTTGGTAGAGAAATAGAAAAATGGACCAAGACACTCCTCTTCCGGGCAATAGTAGCAACCTGTTCTTTCTCTTTGCACCAACAACCCTGCCATAGCAGACAGCTATAGCATCCTGTTCTTGCCAGCCCTGGAGTTAAGTATGCATGGAGGTGCCCTGTGCCACAGGTTTCTCATCAGGAGCAGGCTGAGTATATGTTTTTCTAGTCCTGCTTTGGAGGGAGCAGCCCAGTGTCCAACCATAGCTCTTCTGGGAAGTCATTAGTTGTGGTGAGTCATGGTGTTGTCTCAAAAATGTTCATTGTGTCTTCCCCTGGGACTGAATGGGGCCCATTCTGGAGGATGAGGTGTCTCTGAGGGATCTTTCCGTGGAGCCCAGAGCTCAGCCACTGGCTAGGAGGCACCCAGGAGGGCCGGGGGGTGGGGGGAGAGCACTTGGGGGCTGGAGACACCTGGGAGCAGCAGGCTACTGAGCTGGTACCATCAGGGCTGCAGGGACCAGTGGAGACTGTAGGAGGGTGTGGCAGGGGTGAGGGTCTGCTGACGGAGAAAGAACTGAGAGGGAACAGCACATTCCCACACTTTCAAGCACTCTAAGGGCACTCAAACCCCTTTACTATAATATAAACACATCAGACATATACATAAGAGACTGTCCCAGGGAATATACGTGAGAGTATAAAGTTTAATGAACCATTAGGGATGGAATGGTTAACAAGGACTCCCACGTGAATACTGTCCACCTTCAACAACCACTGACTCTCTTCTTCACTTATTCTGAAGCAAGTATTAACCAACATTTTGAAACTGAAATGAAAATTTCCCAACTGAAAAATAGTTTTCTATCTTTAAAAAAAAAAAAGACAGCTAATTTTTTTGTTTTGAGTTTTAATCAGTTTATTTAATTCTTGAATAAGAATTATTCTGAAGGAACAAATTTTAAATAATTAGATCAGTATGTCAAAAGATCTTACATCATACAAAGTGCAGATGTGAAGACAATAAAACAGTAAGAAAATGGGGTGTGGGTGAACCCCAGTGGCAGAGTGTGTGGCATGCTTAATATTCATGAGGTTTTAATTCAATCCTAGTACTTGAAAAACAGACAAACTATCAGAACTTTGGGTAATAAATAAAATTGCAATGGGGGGGCATAACTTCAGCATTTATTCATTCTAACTTCCATATCTGGCTTCCCCATGGAATTCAGTGACAGCCAGCAGATCAAAATGAGGATGAATTTATCTGGATGGGATCCCTTCTGAAGACTATAAATAAAGGTAGAGACCATCTTTGTCAGGTACTCAGCTCCTGGCCTGAGTAGCCGTAATCTGCTGAAGACACTGCCCTGTACTGACCTGGGAAGGAAGAGCAAGGCAGGAAGGGGAAGTGGTCTGCAAGGCCTGGGGGAGCCCTGGAGCAGAATGCATGAAGTAGAGGAGGCCGCCACCTATGGGACCTGAGAGCGATTTCTCTTCCCCAGGTTAAGCGCACAACCTCCAGTTCCGCTGTTTCGCAGGTAACTCTAAACAAACCCTACGTAAGAGAGCATTCTCTGAACTTGTCAGAGACAGTAACCAGAAGCCAGTGTGTTGCAAACGGTCTTTATTTTCCAGCCAGCCAACAGCTTTGGATTTAAGGCTTTCTCCCCTTCTTCCACAGCGACTGTCCTTCTCCAGAGAAAGCAACAAATCTGCCCCCAGCTTCATTCTCTTCAACCTTTTTGACCAATGGACGTGAATTTCTGATGAAAGTGATCTTACCAAGCTTAAATTCGTAATTAGGAATCCCTCTTTTAATGTCTCCAGGCTTGACGGGGGAGGGACTGGGCTCAACCCCTTTCTTCTTTCCATCCAGTCTATTCCCAGAACCAGAGAAGGCACGGAAGGAAGCCCACTTCTCCAGCATAGCCACTGTGGTCAGCTTCTCCTTCTATTGACTCCTCATGCTGTACTGGTCTTTCTGGTTCTTTGTAGCCCAAGGGAGCATCAAAATCCACACTCATGTCACATTCAATAATGGACACAGCCTTGTCAGGTTTGGTCTCCATCACCCCGCAGTTCATAGATCTTGTCATTGTAGTTGATAGCAATCACATCTCCAGTGGTCAGACAGGCAAAGTCTCTCAATGCATTTTCTAATACTGCTTTAGGGCTGGTGATATCCAGGAAGTCCGGGCTCTGAGGCTGGAACTTAGAGTAGGTAGCCACTTGAAGGTTGACACTCTCCACCTGAACCAGGCCCCCCTCTTCCAACAGCAAATTCTGCATCACCCAGCGGGGGAGGGTAACAGATGCCTTCATCGGCAACAAACTCCAGTGCACCACAGTGTGTCATTCGGTCTGAATTCTTATTGGTCAGTTTAAACAGCATAGGATAGGTAATGCTGAGCCGGCTGAGCTGATCGAGGGCTGAGGGCGGCATAATTATCTTCCCTCCTTTCTCCACCTCTGACCTGCCATTAAGCCCCGCTAGCATAGACACGGAGAAGCGGCGGTACTGCGTAGAGGCGCGGTTCTGGAAGACCCGGGGAATCCGGTGGTCAAACATGTTGAAAGAGAACATGACGGACAGCCCTTGGTGACGCCGCTTCTCCTCCTGAATCTTCCAACAGAAACCCTGAGCTCCCTCTGTTAGTGATTTGGCGGCGCTCTTACCCCGCGAGGAGGAAATGTCACGAAACACGACAGAATCCCCTAACAAGAGTTTTATTAAGATAGGAAAGAGAGACAGACGTGACAGGCCTGTGGAAACACACGTGATTAAAGAGATGGCGCCGGGAATATGGCGCCGGCTTATAAAGGCTGGGCCCGCGCCTGCGCACACAGGCTCATGTGGCTACTCCACGCATGCGCGTGCGTAGATCACATGGTTACGCAACCACGCAAAGCCACGGGTTCCTGGCCACGCAAGACGTTTTGACCCGGAAATGGCTATTTTGACCCGGAAATGGCTAGGCGGAAGTATCTAGGTCTGCGGGACATGGGGGCGTATTGTAAATCTCTATCACCCTCTACACGGTCGTGGCCACCGCTCTAAAACCCAGAGCCCCCGACATCTAATTTTTTTTTTTTTTCTTTTTTTTTTTTTTGGTTTTTC